TCCACATTTTTGTCTAGGGAAGTTGTAATAGGTCTTCTGAAATATAAACCTGATAGAAACTAGTTGTTACCAAATTGTACATTGTGATATATCAATTAAAGCATGTAGTTATTAGAATTTAATCAGGACCGCCATAAATCAATAATATTAGTTAAAGCACGTGCATAAAGAACCGGTTCTAACATGAGGTAGTATTAAACGAACGAAGTCCATTTTAGATGCAAATGGATGGCGATGCTTATGCTGTCATTTATGATTCCTTCTAGCTCGTATCTCTTTCACATATGTGTTTGCTGTTGGTTGGTTTCAGATAATTAGCTAGAATAGGTCTTATGATTAATGAATTGTGATATATCAATTAAAGCATGCAGTTATTACAATTTGATCAGGACCGCCATAGATCAATAATATTAGTTAAAACACGTGCATAACGTATATAATGAAGCTAAGCTTATGTTTTGTGTTTGGTTTGCATATACCATGATTGAGACATGTTTTCCATATTTTAAACCAATTCTAACGAAGAAACGTATACAATGGAGCTAAGCTTATGTTCTGTGTACTGTAACGGTGTCTAATGCTCAGGTGGGGATGCACAACAGACGGTCGTAGTAAGCGATGATCGGAGTGTTTCTGACGAGGACTTCTACACCCCGCCACGCCGCCTTGATGATCTGGAGTATGAAGGGTCTCCGCATGCTGATCCTGGACGCGAGGACTGCCTGTTCCCCCTTATTAATACGAGGGGGATGCCCAAGGAGCTCGCCCGGGTAGTCGAATCACTAACACCACGTCAGAGGCAGGGTGTCAGTAGCATTGGCATGGGGAGTCTTCTAGGGTTGCGCATCAAGGAGTTGCCACTACGCCTTGGCTATTGGTTAGTGTCTTGCTTTGACCCCTCGAAGATGGAATTGGATTTGGGCAACGGAAGAATCATCAAAATAACCAAGGAGGATGTTGCAGCTGTGTTGGGGCTCCCGAATGGTATAATCCCGATTACAGAGCGCGATCCCCAGGTTGTAGGGCGCGACCTGCGAGAATGGAGGACTAAGGTAAAGCAACAAAAAGGGAGGGTCATGATCAAGGCTCTGAGCACACTACTTTTAGGGCTCAAAGATGGGGGGGGGGGGGGGGGTTTGGTTTAAACGGCATTTTAGTGTCGTTGTTGTAAGCACGCTTATTGCAAGCACGCCCAATGGGTATGCGAACCAGAAGATTGTGCACATGTTTAGCGATGTTACCAAGATCGGTGAACTGGATTGGTGTGGCTATCTCTTGCAGTCCTTGGTTAGTACCTTTGGTAGGTAGGCCGAGAACACCAACCGCAAATTTACGGGACCACTGCTCTTTCTAATTGTAAGGCCTTGTTTTAAAATGCATGCTTGAATGTCCTTATGAATTATCTTGTCCTAATTTGTGGGTATTCTTCTTGGTGCAGCTGCTATATGTTGATAGGGTGGTGGTGGGTGCGCGGGATGTCCCGAGGTCAATCCCAGTGTTGGATGGGTGGACCACAGAGTTGATTAAAGCACGGGAGTGTCGAGAGGTTACAACAGGGGGTTTTGGCAACGGTTTGGTGGATGCACATCCCAGTGCATCTGGCCATCCTAATACTACGGAATCACCGATGCCAATGTCATCGGCAGTCCGACCTGAAGAACAACGAAACACGGGGATACAGGCAGTGACCCATGTGGCCGCCTCTGCGAACAACACGGTATGTCAGTTATATCCTTGCCCTCAGCGTCCGGTATCCTCGTAAACATTGACTTTATAGGGTGAAAACAACTTTGGTGTAGGACTTGCACGAGGAGTTTGCAACCATGTCTGGGAACCTCCATTCAGTTGCTTCATGGGTTGCTGATACGGTACGGCAACACCCCAGTCTAGCTCGTGACCACCCAGATTTCGATCGGGTTGCCGCTGCAGCGAAGTTGTTGCTAGGTTTAATTGAAGAACCTGCAGCTGGAGAGGTACAACAACCACCCGCCCCGACGCCAGATCTCCACGACGACCCTATATAGCATGACCCAGGATTCTTAAGGGAATTGGACCGACTGGAGGCGGAGGGAATGGACGCTATCGGGGGCGTCGATGCTCCTAGTTTTAGCCTTGGGATCACACAAGACTTGGCAACGAACAGCCTAGAGCGAAACCAGGCTTTACTGTTGGATGTGGCCACACCATCGCTACAGGTTTGTGTCTAAAAAACCTCATTTTCGCGCACTGTTATGATAACTTACGTGTATGATGAATATTGGTGCTAGGTTCCTTTTCAGGTGCAGCAGATTGGGGCCGTACAGCAGCCCTCTCCTCAAATCGCAAGTCCAGAGAGGCGGGATGGGGCACATCGCAAAGGTAAGGGGCCAGTCGTCCAGGAAGAATATCCTTTCGGCATCTTTTCTGGCTCCACGTTGGGGTACCCTGCCATTCCTCTACCACCTGTGCACGTCGTCTGGTTGTGGCTGTTTGGCTGCCCACATGGTGACCGGTAAGTGAGGTTTTCGAGTCTAAATAATGTTTTTAGCATGGTATTTGTTTGGTGGGGCAGGCCTTGCGGAGTTCGTCAGTGGGTGTTTGCTTGCGTGATCTGGAATCAAGTGGGTTAACTTAGGGAGAAACTAAGGTGTGATCTTCTCACTAAGGAATCAGCTTTTCTATGGAAAAAACAATTTAAATTTGCTAGTATAGGTGCTTGCTGTGTGCGTTATGAATACGCATGGGAAAGTAACCATGTGGGGACCTATCACGTTATAGTTGAGAAACAACTTATAAAGTATAGTAATATGTTTTTTCTATGGTGATCGTGAATTTAAAATTGCTAGAATAGGTGTTGCACTGGTTTGGGCATCTCAGAATAATGGTGGTGCATTCCCTTGCATGGTGGTGCATCTGACTTGTGCATTCAGACTCAGTGGTAAAAAAGGGACCCCTATTATAGTGTTTTACTTCTGTGGATAGTAGCTGCAGTGAGGGTGGGTTGATGGACCACTATACCTAATTAAAAGACAATTTCTTGCTTTCTCTCTAACGTAATCATTTTTGTTAAATGTTTTAGGAATGCGGTGTTGTTCCAGCATGTCAAGCGCAAAGTCAAATGGGCAGATTTTAGAACTTTAATGGGGAGGACGCACGTTGCAAAGACTGTGGTGGATGCATGGTGCAGTGTTCTCAATTCCAGGGAAAAAAACAGGGTGGGAGGGGTACCTTCTAGGATCTTTTTCTCAACCGGTGCCACGGTGCGTATCTAAAACCCAACCACATGTTCCCACCATTAATTCTCGGTGTTAAACTTATTTGGCGTGCAGATTGGCACTGTAGTGAGCATTTCATCCAGCCAAGATGAGAGGCTTTCGTGGTTCAAAAACCGGCTAGATGCGGAACTGAATACTACAGACCATGTAGGGATAGCGACTATAGATATGGTAAGCATACTTATACTTTGAAATAATTAAAACTGACGCTTTAGACTACGACGTGATATTTAACTAATACACACATATGGCTGTTGTCCAGTTTATTTTCCCGATATTGCAAGGGGGCCGGTACTACATGATGAGCATCAGTTTCGAGCGTTATAGGTTTGATATTATTGACAGCTCATCTGCAAACAAAACGACCAAAGAGATGTACGACGGTGCACCGCAGGAGTTGGTATGTGTCTGTTGTAACATACATCTGATGATTGTGTCTGCTAATTGTTACATTATATTCACAGACCACATCCCTATGGTGCAGATTGACTTACTAAGCGTGTACTTGGATAGCAAAGGTCAAACGCTACGTGCATTTCGGCTTGCAAGCATGAAACCTAAAAGGATGCAGATGCCATGGAGAGACACGACGTCCACCCTCGATTCAGCGGTGTTTACGATGCGGCACATGGAGTCATACACCGGTCAAAGTTGCACAAATTGGGATTGTGGGCTGCAGAGAGGGAACACCCAACAACTACTCAATCTACGGAAACGTTACTTGCACAACATCTTGTTTAGTGAGGTCAATGAACACACGGGGAATATTGCCACTCGCATCGGCCAATATGATATTCAAAGGTCGGGTCAACACCAACAATGATAGCTGCTAATGGCTAGGTCGTTTGGTAATAGTACATGTGATTTTATTGCAGAGGTAGTGAAATTTGTTTTGGATAGTATTTAGCTATGGCCCTTTTAATTATTGGGACAGATTAGAACTTGTGAATTACAGGCACAAGTGCCAAGTTTTCTGAATATTTTCCATTTGTTAAATTATACATATTTCCATTGGATGAGGTTGTTACTGCACTGGAGGTCCGAAAACCAATTGGATGCTTCTCTTCAACATTATTGTATTCACAGGTTACTGTAGCACTGGTTGCTAATAAAGGTTCATTTCAGAGTAATAGCATTTGTGTAGTTGGTTGTTTCGTTGTCTGTGTATTTTTTTTGTTTAGTTTCTCTGTCGATTTTAAAAGATTTACGCCCTTGATGTGCGTAGTTCAAGTTCCGTATTCGTGTGCAATTTCCAGCTACCACACTTACACAAAAATCAGACTAATCTTGTCTCACCACACAAGGCATAATGTTTCGTTTCCCAAACTGAAAACTTCCCCCTGGCAATCCAGTCCTTCACTAAATAGGTTCAGCCTGGGATTGCAGCTTGCTTTGTTCAGATGTATTCAGAGCCAAGAGAACTTGTAGAAAAGAGCAAGCCCCGGCTGAAGCAAGGATGAGTAACAGTAGCAACGATTCTAGAAATTTAGATAGACCACAGTGCACCTTAGGTTGGGAGAAATTACCAATGCATTATTCCATGATATTTTATGTAGCTTACTGGTTGGTAGCAATTAACAATTGAATACATAAACCATACAACGGAATATAAGTATATAATAATTGCTGCCATTCATTTAGAAAGTGCAGGAAAAGCAACATGGAAGAAATGCACATAGTAAGTGTAAATTGACGTATGCTATGGAATACAACAAAATAGAACTAAACAAATACAACAAAATAGAACTAAAGTGCCCGTTGCTTGGAAGGACAGCTACGTGCGTTGTGACGGGCGTATTCACCGCACACCCCACACTTTCGGCCGGCTTTGCCGCTATTCTCTATGGCTATCTCCCGGGTGCTCTTAATACGCTTCCCACTCCCTTTGTTCTTAGCTTGTGCCGGGGGTTTAATGGTTATACATGGGGGTGGCTGGACCCCACATAATGCCTCGATCGCGGCTCTGTTGCCCTTTGCTTCGCAAATGATCGTGCCGTCACTCGCGAATTCATCTCTCAACTCTTTCAGTACCTCTACCATCCGTGCCTGACAGACCATGCTCTCACCAACCATCCCAACACATGTTTGTATCTCAGACCACAGTTCTGAGGCACCTGATTTTGGGGGGTCACCATCAGAACGCCGCCCTCTGCATGCACCACAACCTAGGTGCTTGCGCCAACGTTCCACAATGTACTGGGATGGTAATTGCTCTATATGTGCAGACTTGAACACTAGGAACATATGTCTGCAAATTAGACCCAATCGTTGGAACATCTTGCAGCTGCAAAAAGCAATACACCCGCTCGGTTCGTATTGTACAGTGTGCGTGGTGGTGCAATCTCCTCCGATGTTGTAATAAATGGTCCCCCCATCTTCATGGATGCCCACAACTTCGCAATAAAAGCAGGCAGCTTCAATCTCTTTCTGCAAAGCATAAAAAATAGTTAGCGTGAACAAATCTGCAGCGTGCCGCTCTAACGCCAAGGGAGTTTTAAACTCGGGCAAGGACCCCTCGCACTGTGCATCTAGTTTAGCTTGATTGTGGCGTTGTGTGTCAAGGACGCTCTCGGTTTGCATGTAGAACTCTACCAAACTGGAGTGGAGGCGTGTGAACTTCCCATAAACACTGTTCTGTGCTTCGGACCGGGATGTGGTGCGTACCAACCCACTCATTGGTAAATCTGAAAAAAAAGCTGGAATCCAATGATCCCTTTCTGCATATAATTTTTTAAACCACCGGTGATCAGATAAGTTGTATTTCTCCATCAGCAGCTGCCATTGCACTTCGTAGTCATCGTAGAGGCTGTTTCGTTCCACACAATATCATTCAAACTCTTGCGAAACTCCGCATTGTTTGATAACTCAGGACCGACCTTTTCACTAACCTTCGTCATAATGTGCCACATGCAAAAACGGTGACGGCACCCTGGTAAAACCTGCTCCATAGCAATCTTCATAGCAGGGTCCTGATCGGTGACAGCACATAGAGGGTCTTTCCCATTGCAAGGTTGAATCTTTCTAACAGCCAACTATACGATTCCACATCCTCTTTACTAAGCAACCGCGGCAAAAGTGATGCATCGTTTGTGGTTGTCTACTCCAGTAAATGGGACGAACACCAAGTTGTACCTGCATTTAGAAAGCAATGCGAACAAATAAAGATGAAAAGTCCATCAGTATGGGGTTAACCGTGGATTATTACTCAGTAGGAAATGTAGGATAGGCATTATATGGACAAACTTACTGGCAGAAATATTAAACTAAAGGAAAAAAAAAAATAGAAACCCATTGCTATGCCATTGAAATGTAATATGTTGCACACCTGTTCGTGCTGCACGTGGCATCAAACGAAATCACGTCACCGTAACAAGAAAAACTCCGCCTACCAATAGGGTCGGCCCAAAAGAGCCGTGCGATGCGGTTCTCTTCGTCAAGGTGGTAATCGAAAAAGAAACTGTCACAGGCTTCACGCTTGGTTTTGAACCTTTCGATAATCATCTCACCATCAGCCACATCGACATACGTTTGCAAGTCCCGTTTAAAATTATGAAATTCCACATATGTTGCACCAACGTTCTCAAACGAACCTGCTACTTCCCTGCATAATCTGAACCCTGTAGAAGGGCCCACATTAACTTTAAGACAATCTGCTAAAAATGCCTGTTGGGCTACATTAAGTTTCCGGTTACCCCGCATAAATAATTAGCACCCTCAGAGCATAAACTATGGTTGTGGTCCTCGACAAATTTAGACACCACAAACTCCCCAGTACTCTTTTTCTTCAACCCAAGCTTTGCATTGCACCCGACTCTGTTAGAAACCCTTCTCCGTCGTTGCTTATTGCTACTACTAGTACCACGGACGTCTAAGGTGGGTTTCCTCCCACCTCCTCCTTTGGCTCCTTGTCTGCTGCATACTAAAGAACATCGGATAACATCCCCGCTACGATCTCGCTTAACACTGCTGTGCCTGACGTCAAAACCACTAGCTCCCCCGTAGATCTTGTAGAATTCAAACCCCTTCGTATACTGATTTAAAAACACTGCCCGAGTACAGGTATGATTGTAGTGTCCACGTTGGGTTTCCAGTGTTGGTTGAGGGGTGTTGGTTTTCCCCGGCGTGTAGTGCGTTGCATCTCTAGTACCGAAATCACCGTCAATTGACCTGTAGTAGTCACAACCAACTTTAACTCCAGGATTCTAATAATTCTATAAATATATAAACTGAATAACAACTCAAATTTAGCAATATATTTATTTATAACTTAACTACAAAAAATATCTTAATTTCATATTTCAATTTATTCTGTAGAATATATTTATATTATAAATAGATTTGTAGCGGTACTGCTAGGTGGGATGCATTCCAATTCAATGCAATGCATTAGTAGGACTATTTGACCACACTGTTGCATTAGTCTAATTATTAGCAACTCATGACTGATGAATAACCAGTGTTGCACAGAAACGTTAGCACAGTGTGCATCAATGCAGCGATGCATACCTAATGAACAGGCTCCCACAGTTCAGATGGGGGGGGGGGGGGGGGGCTTACGCCACAGTGCAGATTGGGGGAATTAGAGATTATGGTCTCTGGGCGTCCAACTGGGGGTATTGGAGGGACGACAAAAAAAAAAAATCCCAAAACATTACCACTCAGAATGGTGGCGGGGAGAGGATTCGGGTTTTGTTGGGATGCCAGTGACGGTGCATTCCCATCAATGGCGGGTGGGTAGGGGTTAAAAACGCCGCAATGCGATCGTACAGCAACACATCAAAAGAGAACAAGGGGGTGGGGAGAATACCTGTCACACCGTGCTCAACCGCACCAGCCGTCGGGTGTCCATCACCGTGCCGCGTCCATCGTCACCACGTAACCAGCGTTGTCCGGAATCTCAGCGGGTGTTGGTATCGGGATTCTCGGCCAGTGTTGATATCAGAATTCAAGGTCGTTTGTCCGGAACTCCTAACGGTGTTGGTGCGGATTCTATGTGTAAGAGTCGTAGTTGGAGTCGACTTCACTAATAAGTAACCAATATTACATATTTGCATGGCTTGTCATCATGCGTGCAAGTGCAATGTAACGGGGGTTGGACGCTCATCGTGGGCTTTAGGATGTACATAATCAACGCTCCAGATCAGTGCACAGGTTCACACATAAATAAATGGTTTGCACCAGAAAACCACCCAATAGAATTCATCTTTCACTCACTCATGATAATATTGTGTTTTGTGTAATCTCAATTTAGTTGTATAAATATTAATGGAATGCAACCCATGTGCTATTCAATTATATTTCAATCCGTGTAATTTATTTTGAATATAAAATGTATTCTCTTCAATTTATTTTAAATTTGTAAACATTATTATTAATTTATTTTTATTTTTATTTTTTTTTGTAAATTCTAATGTATTTATAGTATTTCATTGTTGGAAATCAGTAATTTTTCGACCACCGAAAAGTTGTCGGAAATTGCCAAAATCCAATCGAAAATCCGTGTTCCGACCAACTTTTCGATCAAAAGTGGGATTCGGAAAAACCTCGTCGGTACCACCCGATGCAGTGGTCGGAATTACCGTCCACAAATATAGTGGCGTCGGAAAAGTTCGTCGCATGGAAAAGTTGGCTGCCCGGGTTTTCCGACTACCGATGGTGGTCGGAAAACTTAATGCAAAGAACATTTAACATTTCCGACCACTTTTAGTGGTCGGAAATGTACCGAATAAAAAAAATTATTTCACTACAGAGAATAAATTCTCTGTAGTGAAATATATATATATATATATATATATATATATATATATATATATTTATTTATTTATATATATATATATATATATATATATTTATTTATTTATTTATTTATTTATTTATTTATATTTAGTTGCAAGTTGGTAAGATATATGCTGAAAAACATAAAATACACATTTCATATGCTTGAAGTGAATTCATTCATCAACATACAATCAAAATCTAGCATTTCTATATTCTCTTAATAATTTCTAAATGTATGAACAGGAAAGTGTACATCATTTGAAAGTACATCTGAACTCCCTTACTTAGTTGCCGATAGTACTTAACTTATTTCTCACAGTGACCAACTTCCACACTTTTAGATGCCACACAACTGAAGCATACAACTGGAAAAACAAGTCAGACCCAGCATTGTAAACATGCCGCTTGCTGCAGAATAAAGACTTTACATCACAAGTTCTTGTTTGAAAAAATCTCATCACCTAAATAGGTCTAATTGTTGAAATGTTAATAGTTCAGATGAAGCTAACAAAGGTGTATTAATATGGAGAAAAATTATCAAAAATACATTATTTATTTTATGTTTTGTGAACATCTCTAAAGTGTTTAATAAGTATGCACTCACAGTTTTGAACTTAATACATTTCTTATTAAAACCAAAAGTGATTTTATCAAATCTCAAAATATTTGGCCAAACATTGTTAATTACTAAGTGTTATATTTTATGTTTTGTGAACATCTCTTTAGTTTATCTATCAAATAACTGATATGTTCTATGGTATATTTGTTGATTAATATGCTCTATTCAAATCTATCCTGCAAATATATTATTGAGGTTTAAAGTTTGACAATTTGAAAATAATAATTTAATAGTAAAATGTATACGCTATGCTTTCGTCGGAAATAAAGAATAAATAGAAGGCTTATTTTTACATAATATTTTTATCTATTATTACAAATTTCAATGGTGATTTAAAAATGATGTATTCTCATTATTATTCGCACCTATATATATTGCATTTGCCTTATTGGTGAATGTATAGGATTTTCTTTATATAATATAGGTGATTTGACTATATAAAATATTTTATGAATACTCATAATGACTTTAATATTCTAAAAAAAAAATCCTCTAAATATTTTTTTTCTTGATAAAATCATTTATGATTGATAAAACATAAAGTACTTACTTGGGCATGGGCTTATTCTTTAAATCCTTGCCTTTTCTTAGTTATTGTTGCAATAAAAATGATCAATGGTAGAATCAAACTATTAAAGCCAACAAAATTTACTCACAATTGTTATGCCATGGAATTGTGTTCACCATGGATGGTGAACACGGTTCCAACAGTATTAGTGCACCGTTATCTTTTCTTTTTTTTTTTCTTAATTAATCGCGTGACTTTTCTTCTTCATTTTCACATTTCACGGTTTCACTTTAATTTGATGTGAGCAATGATTTCGGACATTCATAAATTATGAATCCATGCCTGCACATTCACTTTGGACCCGTGCCTACACATTCCCGTCCGAAACCATGACTGCTGCTGCACATTCACTTTGGACCCGTGCCTACACATTCCCGTCCGAAACCATGACTGCTCCTCTGTAGCGCAAGCTTCTTCAACATTCATAAATTATGAATTTTCTGTTATGAAATTATGAATTTTCTGTTATGAGATTATGAATTTACAGTAAATTTATAATCTCATAACAGAAAATTCATAATTTAATAAATGTTTTTCTTTATGCGATTATGAATTTTCTGTTATGAGATTATGAATTTACAGTACATTCATAATCTAATAATAGAAAATTCATAATCTGACCAAAACGCGCGCCGTTAACACCACATCCGCGAATTTTTTTTTTTTTTTTTATGTAAAAACGGGCCGTTTGGACCCGTGTTCACAACACGTTTCCAGGGCATAATTTGCGATTTACTCCATCGATCAATTCTATAATTTTTCTCTCATTCTTTTTTCAAATGGGTTTTTATTTAATGTTTTAGTGTTTGTAATCATATTTAAATTCTCAAAAGAGATCTAGACAATTTCTTTTAAATTATATTCTCAAAGAGAAAGGAAAAAATAAGAATTTCGAATAAAACTATAAAGTGAATTCACTTTGGTTCTGTAAGTTTCTATATTGTTCTTTTTTAAAAAAAAAAAAATTCCCTGTTATAATGTTTGTGGTTATATTTGAATTCTCGATTAAGTTAAGATATTTATATCAATTCTAATCATCCTCATTATATATTTTTTTCATAATTTAAAGTTAAAATTAAAATTTATTACATTTGTTGAAACACTTTAAAATTATTTTGAAAATACTAATATATATAAAATTAAATAAAAAATAAATATACATAAACAACACATAACTGTGCAAAAAGTTTTACACTATGTACAACTGAAAATTTCAATGTAGGGAATCAAAATTGAAGAGTTGTCAAATGAGCCAATTCCATCCTATTTTCACTTGTGTGCAAGTCACCAGGCCAATATCTCCTATAAATTAGATGCATTAAAAATTTTTCGGATTTCTCAATGATTTAATCTATAGGCCCGGCAAAGCTATTTTGTCCTAGGTTTATAGGTGACAATATACTTTTAGTCTTTGTTTTTCAAAACATCCCCTTTGGTGCTAGTTTATTATTGCATAATCATTTTTTGTCTTCCCTCAACAAAATAGTTGGAATTTCGTTAAATAAAAAGACATTTCGATCTTTTTTATACAAAGTGAGTTCCGCTATATATTTATTTATTTATTTTGAAAAAAAAATCATGATTAGAGACCTAAATGTCCTTGTATTTTACAGAATTTAATTAGTAATCTAATTTTAAGTTTGGATTAGTACTTTTAGATTTTTGTTTTAATTTTTTTTTTTTTTTTTTTTTTTGTTCATAGTGATGCTTTGAATGTCATTATATTAGGATTAATTTCCTTGATTTTTTGTTTTTGTATTTTTAAAACATGTTTTATAGATCTATTCCATTATTTATAGAGTCATCATACACAACCAAATATCAATATTGATAATCATTACAATTTCACTCTACTACCAAACATGCAAAATACTTTCATCAAAACTCATTATCACTACTATTATCATGTATTTAATTCTAATTTCAATTCAAATTCCTTATGTATGAACCAAACACACTATGATTGTGTCCATTTCATTTTCTTTTGAAGCTATCTAACGGGCATAGAAAACGTTACGTTGTTCCATTTAATTATTAATATTAATTACCAAATTACAAAGTTGTCTACGTACTTTACTGCTGGCCAGCCATCGATTATCTTCTTCATTATAACATATAATTTGTTCCCTAGAATGCACGGCATGCGCACGTGATAGGAGAGTGGCCGGAACGACGCCACGACGCTCCGGGGGTGCGGCGGGTGAGGTTACACATGTAGCGGTGGAAATGAATTGACCTTCATTACGGTAACGTACAAATATAATTAAACGTAACAATAAACACGTTTGCGTATGATGATAGACGACGATGGATCAATAGTTGATCTTTTTAAGTTTTTTTTTTTTTTTGAATGCTATTGCCTATATTATATTGTAGTATCTGTTCAAACATACTTTCTCAATCTAATAAAGTACAAACAGTCAACAATGCCGCTTGATCTCATAACCTCCCACATGAAAGATGTCACTACATGTCATTTGAGCATAAGGTGCTTGACATTGATCTTTTTAAGTTAGTCGAACTATAAGTTTGGTAATAATCATGATATAACACGTTCAAGTTTCGGTGGAAGCAGTCTATTAGCATTTTTTAGTTTGATTCGATCAGTACAGTTATGAACAATCTAGATTGATTTAACTCGTAGTAATTATTTGGTTGCTAGAGTCACAAGATAGTGCACATTATGAATAATGGTGTTGTGGATTTTGCTTGTGACCCAGCAAAAATAATTGACCATTTTTATCATTACAACAATTGTCTTCCCCGTCAAAAATTAAAATTGTCCCCAAACTTTTAGAGTTTTAATTAGCTTTCCCCTCTCTCTCGAGGCCAACTAAATAGGTAAATCTATCACGGATGCATGTATGCTAATTAATGGAATTGGATCCGAGGCTATTGCTTAGAAAGGGTTGATGAGGTTCGAATTCTTCACTTCTTTGTCTAGTCCGGCTCATTCTTCCAACCATTAGTATGTGCGTTTCATAGAAGCTGTCATGCATGCACTTATGACATAAGGCCGAGTCTTTACTAGTTGTTGATGTTCGAATCGGATCTGAATATTGCACATGGCTATTGCTTATTACAAAAGGGTTGAGGTTCGAACTCTTCACCCTATGTCTAGTAGTCCTGAAAGATATCACTCTCGCCCATTCTTTTAACCACTAGTATATGCGTTTCACATAAGCGGCCATGCATGCACTTATGGCATAAGGCCGAGTTTTTACTAGTGGTTGAGGTTCGAATTGGATCCGAATATTGCACATATATGGCTAGTACTTACAAAGGGTTGAGGTTTGAACTCTTCACCCTCTGTCTAGTCACTCTCGCCCATTCTTTTAACCACTAGTATATGTGTTTCACAGAAGCTGCCATACATGCACTTTTGGTCATTGACAAGATCTTACTTTAAAAAATTAAATTAAAAAAATGAGTGTATAATAATGCTATTGGCAAGTCAGATCTAACATTATTATTTGTAGACACGGACAGAGAAGATCTTTCAACATATGATGTGGCGAAATATGTGCAGTTGATGTCTAGATTGCCGGCGTGAATGGTCATGCACTTGATCGATATGATCGGATCAAATCTACTTATACATCATGCATATATGCATATATGCCGACGACGATAATTAAACTTATTGCAGTCAAAACGCCGTGGGGTGCAAGGAATTGTGATGGATATATATGTGGCATTTGGCAAACAACCTCGTAGCTTCCACTTCCAGCACCTCAACTAGCAAAAAGCAAGAAATTGGACACTTTCTATTCCAACAAAATGTCGTCCTATATAAAGCAACAACTCGATGAAGGTTTTATCGTTAAAAAAAAATGTATAGTTAAGTAGCATAAAATTATAAATGAGAAAAGTGTGTGTGTGTGTGTTCAAAGCTAAGGTGATTTAAAAATGAGCAATTAACTGAGTTTATGAAACATAATTAAAAAATGGAATCTAATTATAGCTATAAAATTGCTAATTATGGACACTTTTTCAACCAATTAAAAGAAAGACAGACAGAAATTATTAAATTTTCAACATTTCATCACTACCTACTAGATGTGGTTAAAAACCTTTGGTAGTCCATTCAAAATTTGAAGCATTTTCAATAAATTTTGTTGGTGGTGGGTAATTAAGTTAGTGATGCCAATGACATTGTAGTCTAGTGGCATGAAGTGATTCTCTAAATGGGAGGTCATGTGTTTGAGCCCATGGGAGAGATATTGATTCTTTATGAGATTGAGAAAATACATATGAACACATACTAAAAACAAAAAGTTGAGTGAGTGTTAATAGCCGTACATAATTTTTCTGATTTTAAAGTGTTGAAAATTCATTTTTTATTAAATATCTTAAAAATTTTATCACATTTTTTTTTGAATACTACTGACTCTATTTTTTTTTTATCACATTTTGGTGGTTTGAAATGTTAAATTTTCTATCTCTATGTAAATTTTTAATACTTTTTTTTTTTTTTTGAGAAAGAAAAACCAATTCATTAAATCATGAGTAAGAATGTTCACAAAGAAAGATGGAGGAGAATCAAACCATTCTCCCCAACCTGACACAGAAAAGGCCTCCTAGCAACAATATGGGCGGCACTATTCGCAGATCGCTTTACACAGTAGAATTCAACATCTACAATCTCAGAAGCTAAAACTTTAATGTCCTCAATTAAAAAACCAAAACTAGAATTAAAAGACAGTGAACGTAAAGCATTAAAAACGGTTTGACAGTCTGTTTCCACATCAACATCTCCCTTCAGTAGACTTTAACCAACTCAAAGCCTCTCGTATACTTAGAGCCTCCGCCTCTTTAGCCATATAAAGCCCGGGATCCTCATTCTTGGCCGCTAGGAAAACTCCATTATCATCTCTCAAGACCCAGCCTAACCCATTTCATTACTTTCCTGCCTCAATGCTACATCTGTGTTCAACTTTAGTCTCCCATGCGCTGGTTTTGACCACGACACTACATTCAAATGTTCTTGATCCGTTGGAGTTCCCTCATTTGCACTCCTCCAACAATCCAGGAACACCATAGACCTACTCAGCACCACATTTAAATCAAAAACCACGCCCTTCCACGCACTATCATTCCTGCTTCCCACACACTCCAACAAGTCATTAGAAATTTAGGCAGAGAGTCAACATCTAACAAATTAATAGCCCAAAAAAACCAATCACTTATACTATTACCAGCAAAGTAACTGATTTGTGGCCACCCCAGCTTGTGCCACAGTTGTGCCACCTTAGCACAGTAGACAAACAAATGAAGGGCTGATTCCTGCACACAACTGCACATATGACAATTCAAATCGCATTCAACATTTCTTAACTGCAGAATATCCCGTGTAGGGAGATAACTAGCCAATTGCCAACAAAAATTCTTCACCTTCGGGGAATATGTGAGTTCCATATCTTATTCCATGGGGGTCATGCTGCCACCAAAGTGAGATGCTTGTAACAAGACTTAACTGTATAAGCACCCTTCTGGTCCCATTGCCATATCCACTGATCTCGTGGCCTCCGAACACTAACAGGAATATTTAAAATCAAGTTAGCATCGCGGGCATTAAAAATATCATTAACACACTCTACATCCCACCCGTACCGTGCATATTCATAAGAGAGGACACCGAGCCGTTCGGACTGATGGATGCAGGTCAGTTTCCACATAAGGTTGTCATCTACCGGGAGCCAAGGATCAAAGCAATAGAAGTCTCATCCATCACCAATTGCCCTTCTACACCCCTCCTTC